AACAGTTTTTATCAAATATGTTTTTTTCATTGTTCACTGCTACAGTACCCGACAAAAACAAAATGCATACCAAGCAGGCGATCAGTTTTAGAAATTGCTGACCATGTTTTGTGTTAAGCACTGAACCAAGATATCAAACAGGGCCTTCTACTAATGAATATCCATAAGTACACGATGAAAAATTAAATAATATCCCACCATGACATGTCTTTATGGTATATTTCTTGAGCACCCCAAATTAAACTTTATGATTCAATAAAATTAATTTTAGAAGAAGAAATTTCAAAAATAAATAATCATGTACGTGGTAATAAAAAACCGTTTTAGCAAACACTTTACTAAAACCAATCCAGTGCACCTTTCAGTTGTCACATCTTATTTTTTCAATTAATAATGATTGAGAGTCCGAACAAATTCAACTAATTTTATATAAGTAAAAACTAATGTGATCATGACGTTAAATCAGCTTTCACTCACGTAAACCCACCAAATACAAATCCAAATCATTATACTAATTCAATTCATGAGTATACCTCACTCTCCACATAAAGTGGATTTCCTATAATTAGTATTCATGCTCTCACAAGTCATGACTCTTAGACTAATAACTAGTAGTCAGCCAAGATGGTAACTCTCAAATATTTGCAAGTGAAAGCAACTAATACTGAAAATTAAGTCCACCAAATTAACCTATTAGGATTATGAGCTATTTCTACTTACTAAATTTTAAAAAATCACATAAAATATGGGGACAATAATTTCTGTGATGGTACAATTCAAATACCTTGTGGCATAAAAGTCACATGTGTTACAGAGTTGCAGATGAAGTGTCAAGCTTGATTACCTACCGGAATATTTCAAGTTACAAGAAGATAGTGCACAAATACAAAATGTCCCATGTATAAATTATATTATTAAATTCATTAAGGCTTCGTTCGTTTGTTTGATTGAAAAAAAAATATATATATATATATATATATATATATATATATATATTTGTTTTTGGTTATTACAAATTTAAATAAAATATTTTATTAAAACTTAACGAAAATAACTTACACGTCAACTTTCGGTAAGTTATTTTACCGCCAAACTTAATAGACTTGACATTAATCTCGATCTAAACATTTGCCAAATACCGCAAAATAAAAAATTAATACATAAATTTACATAAAAAGATATTTTTTTAAAAAAAATATTTTAGGTCGAATCAGTGCTCGGTTTGGTAGGAAGGAAGGAAGAATGGTGGATGAAAAATAAGAAAGAAGAAAGAAAATTTATTCGTTTGATAAAGAGAATGCAAGGATGAGTCATCCTTCCTCTTTAACAAATTTTTATCCCTCCAAATATGAGTGCAAGATTCGAAAGAAGAAAAACAAGGCTATTATAGGTGTTTTTAAATTACAAAAACTTCCCTTATAATTAGCACTTTCTTTTTTCTTCTCTTCGTAACAAACAAAATAAGATATTGTCATATTCTCTTCTCTTCTCTTCTATTTTATCCAACAAAACAAAAAGAAAAAATAACACAATTTCTTCTATAAGAGTGTTTTGTTTATCTTCTCTTTTCTTCTTTCCATCTAAATTTCTTTCATCCTACCAAATAGAGTATAATGGTTATCAAGAAAAATTGTCCCTTCAACTACATCAACTGTCATTCATAGTACCTCCTTATCATCTTTATAGTATACATTGTTCATGTATTACTTTTAGTGTCTAACAGTACTCAATTTTAATAAATCATCTTCTTGGAAAAATTTTATTTTAATCTATCTTGTTTCATCACATGGAGCGTCACTGGCTACGCAACTTTATGATAACATTAAATTTTACTTTAATAGTGGCAAACAAGTCACTTGAGAAGCCATCCAGTTCATGTATTGCCAATCTTTTTAGTAAATCACTTTTGTTCATAAATCTTCTAAGACCAAATATCTGATAAAAGAGAGAGGATTTATTAGTGCTTTTGAAAGGGGATGAAAAAAAACACCTAACCATCATTGATTTTTGTTTTTTTTTTTTAATATCCGGAGTGTCCGGAGCTTTGCTCTGACTAATTCACGGGATTCGTGCAAGGTGACCCCACACAAATCGACACAAATCGGATAAAACTCAGATTATGTCTGCAGTTATAATCCTGAAAAATTGTTCGCACCTAAGAAGAATCGAACTTGAGACTTGAAGTTTAATGAGGCTCTAGGACTCGACCCTTTTTTTCCACGTTCTACATTTTCTAAAGAATCATTCTACAACAATCAACTCTCGACATTGTCACTACTCACCGCTTTTTTTATAGAGTCCGTTAATCATATGGACTATACAAGAATAACAATATCGAGAATATAAACTTTCTTTTCTGGACACACTTTCTTTGATAAAAATTTAAAACATTTGATTGGACTCTCCATCTAAATGCAGCAGTAATAGAAAATTAAAGTATTTCTCCAACTTCAAAGGTTAGCAGCTTAGCACGAAAGGGGTGAAAGTCATGGCACAATAAATACAAGGATAAAGTACTTCTAAGGTAAGGCCTAATTACATTTTATTTTTATTTTTATTTTTATTTATGAAAACCTATACTAACACCCTTATGCTACGTTTGGCGTGCATAAATGGAATGAAATAAAATTTGGAATGGAATGAGAATGAGAATGAGAATGGAATGGAATGAGTATTACCATTCTAATGTTTGATGTGACACGGTGAATCGTTATGGAATAGAATAATTATTCCTATTTTATTGTTTGGTTAAGTATCATTAAATCTAGAAGGGAATGCCTTTTCTCAAAAATGCCCTTTTCATTGGAGGAAAGAAAAATAAAAAAATTATAACTAAACCGACTCACCATGATTGAATATTTAATCTAAGAAATTGATGTAAAGGCTAAAAAAGAAAATATATATATATATATATATAATGATATATCAATCTTAATAATATATAAAAAATTGTGCACCATAAAATCAACTCAAATAAAGTTAAGGAAATAAATAAATCATCAACCCAACAAAAAAAACCTAGTAATATTTCCAAGTACTTGTGTAATTTTTTTATTGTAGATTTCTTGAAAATTCTAGTTTTGATAAAATTCTAATCAAGCAAGGTTCTCCATTCATCCAACGATGAACTTGACTAAGGGTCCAAAAGTCAAACTAGTCCACTTTTGGATCCAGATGATTATACAAATGTTTCAATACAAAGATACAAAAAATAAATAAATAAAAATAATAAATAAAAATAAAAAAGTGATATGCTCAGAAGATAAAAGAGATTTAATGCCTACTTATAAAAAATAAATAAACAAAGAAATTAATACTTATAATTTGGTTGAAAGTCCTGTAACTTTTTTATTAATGGCAACTCTGGGTATATTCAGAAGAGATGGAAGATGAAAGACCTTTATCACGTCTAATAAAGAAGCCGATAAACATGAAAAATGGAATGTGAAAGATTTTTGGTGAATGTGAAATATTTTTATCTTATTGGAATGTGATTAAGGGCTTATTGGGAATATTACAAAAATATATGGAATGGAATGGCCATTCCATAGGTTTACTAATGGAATGGATTTTTATTCCATTGGAATGGTCATTCCATTCCATTTCATTCCTGCACACCAAACGTAGTTAGAATTTGAAGATAACTACAACACCCTCCCATTACATTGTGAAATGACCTTTTTGCCCATTTAGTTACTTAAAAGACCTAATTTAACCTTAAAACTACTGTGAAAATATCAAAATGGCCCATTAATAATTTTTTAGATGGACAAATATATATTTTTACTTACAGCCGCGGGGTAGTGTAATTGGACTGTAGGATGGATCTTCGGTGTCTGCACGAATCGTATTCAGTGTACCGAGTGTGGATTTGAATTCCCTCCTCTACACAAGTTTGCGACTTAGATCTCACCCGTATCATGAGGCTGCCTTGCAAGTGCGGGTCTCCAATCTCAATCTCACTTTATACAAATTAAAAAAAGTCGTACTATCATAAAAACTTCTTGTGGCAACAAATTTTTTAGAATCCACAGTCAAATTAAATTATGGCCCAATGTAGAGCTTCAAAAAATTAAGTCAAAAAAATAAATATAAATAAATAAATAAATTTGTGGTTCAAAATCAATTGAAGTAAAAAAATACAGATTTTTTTTTTTTTTTTTTTTTTTTTTTCTGGTAAGCGATGATGTAGAAGATGAATGTAAAACCTCGATAGTGGTCTTAGAATAAATACAAAATGACATACTTATTGACTCATTTATATATTTATAATAAAAAATAAAAATTGAACATAGTAAAAAGTGAGTAAAAATGTATATAAATAAAAAATGCATAAACTTTTATAAGTAGCACAGATATAGATTTTTTCAGTTATAAATTTGGTTGCATTTTCATAATCTTTTCAGACTTGTACTGGTTTGGTGTGTGTGCGCGTGTGATGTTAGTGGAAGGTAATAAAGACAGAACACTCCTTTTGAAAAGGGCCCAGACAGAGTATAAATATCTATTATATATATATATAAGGTAGGTATGCGTATGATTGGGTGGTAGGCAATGGCCAAAAGGTCCAGAAAAGAGGACGTTGCCCACTTGTCCACAAACATATAAGTGGAACCACATCTCCTCTCAGGGATGACCACTTGGCCGAGTTTGCATAAATTCGTATACGTTCTATTTAATTTAAGGATTAATTATAATAACACCCCTTGAAGTTTGTCGTATTGACAAGTATATATAAGTTTGTCCTTTTTTGAACAATGAGACCCCTTAAAATTTGATAAAATTGACAAAATACCCCCTGACACCATCTATCACGCCTGACAGACGAAAAATAGACCAATTTGCCCTTTGACTTGTTTGTGGACCTTTATTGGTCTATTTTTCGTCTGTCAGGCGTGATAGATGGTGTCAGGGGGTGTTTTGTCAATTTTATCAAATTTTAAGGGGTCTCATTGTTCAAAAAAGAGCAAACTTATATATGCCTGTCAATACGGCAAACTTCAGGGGGTGTCATTGTAATTAACCCTTTTTTCATTCTTCTTCATCACCAATTTGAAACCCTTTTGAACTGAATACTCCTTCAACACGGTCCTGAAGTGATTAATGTCATCAAACAAATGATCCTTCACAAATTTAATCTCTCCATTAGCACCATACTTGAAGACTATCCCCTTGATGTGTTGATGCACAGAACCTTTCCTTTCATCACCACTTTCTCCACTAAATTCAGCACTATCATTATAATCTGATAAATCTCCACAACTATTATCAGAACTCTCACTTTCTAATTCAATATTATCCCAATCATGTGCCTCATTTCCCTCATTTCCCTCATTCCAGTCCTCATCATCATCACTGTTTGAGAAACTGTAATTAGATTTCTGAGAATCATCACTGTCTTCATCTTCCCCCTCACTGTCTTCATCTTCCCCCTCAGAATTTTGTAGTGGACATTGACTGTCTAAATCAATTGGAACACCCTTGTCAACAAATTCAACAATTATATCCATCTCTCTAACATCTAAGTTCATTTCAAACATAATGATCATATCATCATCCCCATTTAATAGCAGTCTACCACAATTCCCAGGAAATTTGTAAAATATATTCACTGTCATACCAGTTTGATTAACATTTCTAAGCATAAATGCATAAGTAGATGAATACAAGTCCAAGAAACTATATCCATTTGGATTTATCCCATTCAACACATGTATGTGACCATCAAAATTAATTAGGAGATCATGGACTTTGTCATTACCCATCTGCAACTGAGAAAAAACATTAATACAAAATAGGTAAAGAAATTGTAATGCAATATGCATAAGATAGGATTGAATCTGTTCATGTTAACCAGAGTGGGACCCATGGTCCGTCATACAATTAACACAAACAAACCAATCACTAGTGTTGCAGAAGTCACTAACATGCAAACTTATACCACATAATCTTATTAATTTGTACAAGTATATCAGCATAACCCCCAAATAATAACAACGATTTTATAATAAAACCTTCAAACATAAATTAATAACAAATTGAACATAAAACTCTCAATCAGAAACCCTAATGTAACAAATTTTTAAAAAAAATAATAAATTAATAATATAAAAAAAAAAAAAATGCTTATAAAAAAACCATACATGCAACTAATTTCATGAAATAACAACAAATTAATAAATAAAAAAACCCATCAGAAAACCCTCAATCACAATACAAACCCCCCAAAATTCGAACGATTGATTACACCAACCAACCAACCTTGGCGTTCATAAAAAAATAAAAAATAAAAAAAAAATGCTCAATCACAACACAAACCCCTCAAAATCCAAACAGTTGATTACATCACCAACCATCTTCAGTGTTTATGAAATAAGAAATTTATATAAAAATAAAAAATAAAAAAAAAATCATTAGAAATCCCTCAATATCTAAAGTTATATAACAAAGAAGCACAAAGTCACCATATATGCCGCAGAGGAAAGATTAGATCACTTACATCGAATGTGAAGAACAGAAAAATGAACAACATGACACAAACCACCAAGAATCCGAACTGTTGATCACACCAAGCAACTGACTTTAGCGTTCCAGAAATAAATGTTACATTTTTGGAGCAGATAAACAGTGAGAGAGATCGTGATAGAGAAATGAAAGGAAAAAAAGGTAAAGCCTTTGGTTTTTTTTCCAGATAAACAGTACTGAGAGAGACTGTGATCGTGATAGAGAAATTGAGAAGTTTAGCAAGACAGACAAAGGTGAAATAAATGGGGTAGGTGGGTGGGTAGTAGCTAGCGCCAAATGGTGCCATTTTGTGGGGCTGATATTAACTGAGGGGTATATTAGACATTTTGCTATGCATAATATTTTAGGATAAAAGTGATTTAAATATTCAGGGGCAATATTGTCTTTTCGCAACCAATAAGACCTTGTTTGGATTACAAAATTGACAGGGGGTCTTATTGTTCAAAAAAAGGCAAATTTATATATGCTTGTTAATACGGCAAACTTCAAGAGGTGTCGTTGTAATTAACCCTTAATTTAATTATGAACAAATATATACTCATTATATACTTGTGACGAGTTTTAATTTCATAATTTATATTTGCCTCGTTAAAAAATTAGTATACCTGTGCCTATTTCGTCCCGTTTACATTTATTTTTATTTTTTATATTTATATAAATAAATTAATAAAATTTATAAAAGTTAAAAAATTCTATACAATATAAATAAAGATATACTTATCTAGTATATATATATATATATATTTAAAAAATAAAGTATAAAGAGCTAGCCGGGGCGGATGTTTCTCTACACCCGAAACCCACGACGAGATTAAAGTCTAAAATCATACCCGTCTTTACAATACATAAACAATTCTCATACTCGTGCTATTAGGAACATGAACGGGGTGGAGCTCCGGCGGGACCGTACAAATTGTCATCCTTGTATCTTTAAAAAAAAAACAAGAATCTAATTGCTGAACTTTACCACAAAAAATATAGATATACCAAAATAACATTGTAAACTACTCTTTTACATGATTTAGTTCTTCTTTAGCAAAGAGTAACACAATTTCTAAAAAATAATTTTGTTTATCTTTTTTCTTTTACTAATTATGACCGTTTAAAGAAGCAATAGAAATGGAGCAAAATGAACATTTAGTGTTAGATAAACCGTAATTAATATATATATTGGTAAAAAACGTTGTTTTGGGAAAGTAAGTCACATTTGAAAAGTTTTAAAGCTTTTTTTATAGTTAATAAAAAGTGACATAACTTCTAACCAAATCTGGAAAAATATCGTAATATTATCAAGAGATTGTCATCTTAAAAAGAGTCATAATCTCTTTTTATCATTAAAAACTAGATTGAGAATAATTTTGAAATTTGAAAATCTGAAAATAAGGATTATAACATTAAGTATCACTTTGTGCTGATTGTTCCGTAACAAGCCAAATTTTTTGTTGTGGGGCTTGTCACATGACAAGTCTCACGAATTCATGTTTTAAATTTAAACCCCCCCCCCCCCCCCCCCCCCAAAGTCACGTTTTAAACCTTCGTTAAATTCACGTTTTATGTTTCTTATTTGTAAGTTTGAAGGATAAATAACATAGCGAGACCGACATACAGATCTTAGAAAGAGAAAGTGATAAGAGACATAATAGAAGATGCTGAAAAAGTAAATAAAAAAAAAAAAAAATGACAAATAAATATATAACAAAAAAATAAATTGAAGAAAAAAACAAACAAAAAAATACTAATAATTAATAAAAGTGGATGGTCCAATCAGCACAATACCGAACTACTGGCCTAACTTACACACCCAATCCGAAAAGGTTTATTTAATGCATGTAGCGGAACCCTCAATAATCAATTGAGTAGAGACAAGTTCGATTTTTAAATCATTTTCCTTGAACACTACGTCAAATTTTAACTTTTACATCAGATTTTAGTAACTTAACCGTATAGGATGTGTTTTTAAATCATTTTCCTTAAAACACCTTGATTAGTATTACTGGGATTTGTATCTTTTGAAAAATTGCATCTCTTTTTGAACATGATAAGTTCGAGTTTTCCAACCGATATTTTTTTGGTTATAAGATTTTCCAATTTTAAGTAGATTTTCAATCAAATGAATTTTATAATCTTACCTTAAAATATATATATATATATATATATAGGCATGACCACTAATTGCTACAGCCACTGTAAACAATGTCAACACCTGAGGGTGAGTGAGTGAGAGAAGTTTTCACATCCATTCTGTCAACCTAAGAGAAAATCATGCAAATAGTCAAAATAACGACATTTAAATGTAACATCAATGGACAGAGTCATATAATAACATTTAAATATAACACCCATCCATAGTTAAACATAGAAATGTTCCCATACATAAATAACATCAAACGTAGTTCCATACCACACAAACTTTAAAGCATTAATAAAAATCCAAAGACCGTTCGGAAAAATATCTTCACTTTCATCATCCCAAATAGGTCGTCCATCTAGCCCTACCTCAGAAATGTCCTCATCTTCCAATTCTTGTCCGGGTTGATCCATCTAACCCAAAAACAAAATCATAGCATGTAAAAGAAACAACCAAAAAGGGTATAAAAATACAAATCATATCAATGAACAGAAAAATAAAATAGACGAAAGATGAAGCAATCAATCTATTAGTATAACAGTTTATAAGCAAGCAATGAATAATGGGAAAGCTTCATCTGGTTAGCATTACCCATTCTGGCCTCTGACCTTTTAAGTATAAACAGCAATTATCATTTTTGAAATTATATTTCCAGTCTTTGTTACCATTAATTTCAAGCAGATAAAATAATACTACTTAAAAACTGTACAAAACATAAATATGATCATTTTGAATTATTTGCAATGTCAAACTAGCAGGCAGCTAGGCACAAATAGCAGAGTTTTTCCTCAATTACATGTCAACCAAACTGGGCCCATGACAATCAAGGCACTAAATCGATAATTTGATGCCATAAGCAGCATCTCAGTACACCAAGTCACTACAAATGTTAAATAGTGGCAGTAAGCCAGTGTGCTAGCAGCCTAGCACATATTAGTTTGTACATATTCAATACATAAAATTTATATAAGATTATCTTTTTAATGAAAATTTCTCATTGGGATGGCAACGGGAGAGGGTTTGGGCAGGGGTACCCTTCCCCGTCCCCACCCCCATTTAAGTTTCTCAGCCCCGTCCCTACCCAAAACCATTTAGCAAAAGCCCCACTCTCGCCCCGCCCCGCTCCGATCCCACTCGCCCCATTTAGAGTCACAAATTTTTAAAAAATTCAGATCTGTAGTTTCCTACTTAAAATTTTATTTTATTACCTAAAGCTTCATCAACCAAAATCTTTAACAAATTAACAACAATGAACACAAAATCTTTAACATAGATGATTCGAAGATCAGCATAGATTAAATCACTTAAAATGTAGAGAGAGAAACAAGAGAAAAGGAGGAGGTTGATTGATTTACCTTATGGAGAGGGGTTGGCCATCGATGGCCACTACAATGAGCAAAAGAGGCACTGGAGAGAGAGTACTTGGCGCCGTCGGGATGCGGGATGAGAGAGAGAGAGAGAGAATGTTCTGTTTTTGGTGGTAATTAGGGTTTTAGGTGTCTTATATATAGCAAGGCTATTTTGGTATATGCACTAATATATAGGGGTATGTAAGGTATTCTCATAATATAATACAAACTATAAGGGTAAAAATGTAAATTTTCTATATAAACGGGGCAGGTTGACCTTCCCCGTTCTGCCCCACACTCGCACGGGGTTTCCACCCTAAGCTTGTCCCTGCCCAAATTCCTTAAACGGTCACCCAAAACTGGTTTAAACGGGACAGGGAAATAGCCATCCCAATTGTCACTTGGAAGTTCAATTAGTTTTTCCTTTCTACAGTGTATGTTAATTAATGAACCTAGATATGCATCCATTCATAAAAGCTGAACATTCACATCAAATATTCACTTCAATCCTGATTCCCATATAAGGTGTAACCGACTATAATGTACAATTTACTAATATGTTTCTTCAGTAAATGTACAAAACAGGGAAGCACAATCTAACCCAGAGTAATCAATTATAAACAATTAGCTATGAAGCAAAGGACTCAAAATTCCATAACCAAAAGCACAATCTAACCTAGTCATTAATTATAAAAAAAAAAAAAAAAAAAAACGTTTTAAGCCATGAAGCATATGACTCCAAATTCCATAACCAAAAGACAACCACAGAGAGAGTAAAAAGGGCATCCCATTCTCCACCATAAATTTTCAAATTCACAAGGGCATCTTGTAGGTATCTTAGACAAACTGAGAGAGGAACGAGACAAACAAATTATCTTAACTCTTGGAGGTCTAATTTCCTGTTCTCTCCACCATCAATTTTCAAACACCAATCAACAAATAAAATAGCATCTCTGAAATCCATCACCCACCTACATACACACCCACAAACACACACACACACACACACACACACACACACACACACACATGTATATATATCTCTAAAAAGCGTAGATTTGTAATGAGACCGGAAGGAAGAATAAAGGTTGACCCAATGCATGAGACTCCTGCTATTGCGGAATCAGGGGAGGGGTTAGATGTACATAGCCTTACCTTCGCAATACAGAGAGGCAGCTTCCCCTTTTGAACACGTGATCTCCAGGTCCCAAGAAGGAAAAAATATAAATCCGTATTACATAAAAATACACACACACACACACACACACACAGATGGGTAGGATGGAAAAAATTACCAGAGGAAGTGTCCGAGAGCAACCGCGGGCTGAGAATGAGAAGCGTAGATCTCTAGTGAGAGGAATGTAGATCTCTAGTGAGATAAATGTAGATTTGTAGTGAGAGAACTGTAGATCCAAGGATATCGAAAAGAAACCTTGTAGAGATAATCTCAAAGAGAGGTTTCTTTTAAGCGTTCGATCAACTACGAAAGTTCGTCGAAGCAAGCTCGAAAGCGTGGGGGGGGGGGGGGAAGGCTGGATTGTGCTAAGATGAGAGGCTGGGTATATTTGAGAAAAACTTTCTCAGTTAGGTGCACACTACCCCCTCTTTGTTTTTATCATTTTAGCCAAAACAAGTGAAAGCATCATTTCTTTGCTTTCAGATTTGTACGACGTGTCAGGTTCCGGGAAAAAATAAAAATTATACTGTGTTATGGATTGTATTGGAATCCAAAACAAAACAACATAATGTACCCAAACATGCTTTTGTGGTAGTATTAGGCATTTCTCAACTAGACAATGCTATGCCAAACATCGCCCTGGCTAGCCAAAATCCAATACAATAAGTGATTGATCAACCCCAAAATCTTCATCGTGCCAACTTAAAAAATAGATTGAGACTCACAACATAGTGGCAATCAATGAGAAGATCAATTCAAGAAATGTTTCATCATACCCTAATTATTTTCTAGCAAGTATAATGGACAGTGAAGGGCATTGTAGTAATTAATTTTAGAATAAAATAGAAATAATATGTTACATTTAATTAAACAAGATTTTTATACAAGATATTAAATGAGATAAGTATTTGATATGCAACATTATTGAGACGAGTTCTTCAATCTAAAAGTTTGGGGGAGAAGTTGCCCCTCTTAAACACCCTCTAATTATCCCTTTGTTCCTTGGATATAAAAGTATATGTAATGATCAATACCCAGATTTTTTTTATCCCTAGAACAAATAATAAACAAAAACAGTTTTTTAAACAAGAGTGCTAGATATATAAATTAAAATTTCAGTTAGGATTGAATTGATGGATTTCAGTTGACAGAATTAATATTTAACATATTCACTTACTATTGTTTCCCTGATCTATTGAAATATTAGCTCCAAGAGCTAGTAAGATCCAGCAGACTGATTCTTGCACGTACACGCATGCATACATCTATTTACATGTATTTATGTGGGTATAACACTAATGTCTCACTTGTGTCTTTGCTTAGCTCTAAGCCTCTAACTTAGATCACTATGAAGTGGAAGTAACCATTCAGACAAATCAGACCTCATTGTGTGTGTCGCAAGTCCTCTCTCTCTATATATATATATGGTTGAGCTTTCACATTGTAAGTGTTTCCAAATGTACTGACATTGCAAGTAACTCTATTTAAATCTCATTTTTATCTACCTCGTGATATTTTTTAACCTAGTCAATTCACAAAATAATGTATTGACAGGGCACTCACAAGAAATTTTATAAAAAAATATATGACAGACACTGCAAGTTTTTACCATATTAGTTTTCTTTTATAAATAAAGTATTGAGGGCACGTTTGGCATAAGCTTAGAAAGCTCTTCTTCATTTTTCAAATTCCAAACAAGAAAAAATTTTAGAAACATGATTGTATTTCGATCATTTCAATTCTTATTTAACGCAAGTTTTTGAAAAGATACAAAAGTATTTTATATCTAAAAGCTGGACACTATTTGACACAAATACACCAACACAGTTACCATAAATGTAAAATTTCAGTTATATATCTATTGAGAAATGACAATTACAGAACTTTATCAATTTATAATTTCTATACTAAAATTACCTAAGTTAGAAGATGAAGCTATTTGAATATCAAATAGAATATTTTATATTATATATGATATTACTAATCATATCTTGTCATAATAGTTATATTTTTGTTCATTAAATAATGTGACATGTGTTAATGTCAAATTTTTAGGAAAAAAAAAGGTTGGACAGTTTGATATAAGTCTGTAATGTTGTTTCCAGGACTGTCGTGTGTTTGTTTTATTATTTTTCTATAAGATAAAGCGTGGGATGTGTTGGCTAAGTGTCCAGAATGTGTTGACCATGTGTCTGAGAAGTGTCAGCCAAGTGTCCAAGATGTGCCGGCCAAGTGTTCGAAATAATAAGAATTATTTATAAATTATGGACATGGCCATGAAGGGTAAGACACGTGCTTGGGAGTATCCATGAAGTGATGGTGTCCGACACGGACACAACACTTTCATAGAAGTGTCCATGCTTCTTGTCTTAAGGGGGGGTGGGGTTGCTCCATTGTGATCTGTAAATCATGGATTTGAAATGGAAACAACATCTCTGCATGCAAGACTGTGTACATATGACCCTCTCCAGTCCCCAGACCTCGCAATGGCAGGAGCCTAGTGCACTGGGCTAAACTTTTTTTTTTTTTTTTTTTATGTATCTAAAATGTGTCAGTCAGATTATCCTTTTTGAAGTAATTTTCAATTTTTGATGCCATAGTTGTTTTACGTGTTATATTTTGCTTTCCCAATTTTGAAATAAAAAGCAGCTTAATATACTTGCTTTGTGGAGCTCAAATCTAGAGCTTCTCCTCCTAGGCATGTCTAAACACCCTCTATTAGACATCACTGAGATGAGTTCTTAATAAAAAGTCCACGAATCTCAAAAATTCAAAAGCTTTTAGAGGAGCAGTTGCCCCTCTTAAACACCCTCTTTTCTCTCTCTATTCCTACAACAACAATTGTTCCTTCCGTATAAAAGGAAATATAAATTTAAAACATTTCAACAGATCCAAAAGGTTTACCTGATTGCACCTTAAACAAATTCTACCTTACGCATTCCAGCAAAGTAAAGAAAAGGAAGAAAGAAAAGTTCTAGACACAATTGATCACACTACTAAGGAAGCATTTTGTAATTTCAAAACAAACCATATTTCAATTATCGAAGGAAAATGGTAATAAGAAAGTTGGAATTAACCCCATTTAGATTTGATAAAATCACCATATATAAACCTAGTATCTTGGCCAAAACCCACTCCCATCATTAAACCCCAATTGTCTATACAACAAAAAATTATGAGTAATGCAAAGGATGTGAGATTTCCAAAATGATTTTGCTTCGAAGCAGAATATAACTGAGTAACTCTTATGTCCGACATTTGTTTCGTTTTCTCAACTCCGATACTGCAACTTGGGAGTTGAGCCCAAGCCAACCTGACCGGTGGGCAACCATTGACTTTTTAAAAATTGGGTTGGACTTGAATTGAAAATACTTAATCCAAATTATATTAGATTGGTTTTGAGTTAACGCATTGGCTAACACAACCAGTTACATACACGTGCAAAACAGAATGCAAAAAATGTTTATATTTTGCATAGTAGACTTTTTGAAAACTGGGTTGGATTTGAATTGGAAAATATTAACCCAGATTATATTAGATTGGTCTTCAGTTAAGGCATTTACTAACACAACCAATTTCAGAGAACTCCGCAAAACAATAAGGAAAACGTGTTTATATATGTAAAAGAGAAAAAAGGTTATCACACTATGGAAGGCCTAATCCCTGGCACTAATTGTCTGTTAATTGTTAATAGCTTTATGTCCATAATCCTTGAGGCAAGAACCTGTGTGGGGTAAGTACAATTTTGTCTCACACAAGACTTATGCCAATGACAAACAGCAGAAATTGAGTAACCTTCTACATTAAAACATCTAAATCACAAAAAGGAAAAAAAAACAAAATAAAATAAATCTAAATGATTAACAAAGCATATTGAACACCTGCATTGTCTCTTACAGAGCAATCTAAACGACAAATCAAAATGGAGTCATTAGAGAAAAAAAAAAAAAAAAAAAAAAATGCCTATTCACCATTACTGTGTATGTATCTGACCAAGTTTAAGCTTTTTTTTTATAATACATGCCCTAAATAATGTAGGTCAATTTTTTTTTTTTTTTTTAACAAACTTAATGTAGGTCAAATTAACAAATAGATAGTGGACTAACAAACCTTTTCATCAAATGTAGAAACTAACATACACTCTGTACTGTAACCCCCAAATTCATCAAATAAATGAACCGTTAAATATAACAGCTAAAATATATTATTAGCAATTTTAGAACTAGGATATAAAATTGATGTGGTGATAGAATTACCCATAGTGAAGCCTAGCAATGCTCACACGTGATAATTGTTGCCATTGACACCTGCAATCACAACAAGAACTTCGTCGATTGCGGACAGAAACCCACTGTGAGCGTTATCTTCATGTGGTTAGAGTGGTCCGGCAAGCACTGAAACAGAGGCCTTTGGTCTTTTCGTCTTCTCAAAACATCTCATTGCAGAGGAGAGGCGAGAGATTTATAACGGATGAGAGAGAGATTGCTGCGAGAAAGCGAGAGAAACTTGTTAACCAGTTTGCTAACTCCAGAATATTGTTCTCGCAAACTGGTTAACCAGTTTGTTAACCCAGAAAAAAAGTGAATTTTAATTTTTATAAATTTCGGATACTTGTTAATATTTTAAAAATACTTTCTTACCAAACAAAGTACATTTGTGAATGCATTTTTTTTGTCCAAAAAAAAAAAATATATTACCATTTCTTTTCAATAGACTAGACCTAATTCACATAATCTTTTTTAATAGATGTCACTCTCATACTTCGAGTGCGCTTTCATTCTTACGCTCCGTGCGTATTATAACTTAAATTTTCACTATTTATGACTTAATTTTGCCGCTTTCACTCTCTTTCTTTCAAATTCGCTTTCGCTTCCGCTTTATGTGGTTTACTAGACACCACATTTGGTCCCACCTCCTATTCGGCCTATTTTTCGTTCAGCAGGGCTTCAAATGGATCTTTAATTCGTACAATCCTGGACTCTCAAAGACACCCTATCTACCCAAAAGGTGGAATTTACGTGGAATTGAATCTAAATTGACTTTAAATTAAGGTTTTTAGTACCCTAATTTTGATTTCGGCAAACTACTAAATTAATATATTTATTTTTGGTACTTTTAATTATTTTCAACTTGATCCCAATAAAAATTTGTTTTGACAAAAATAATAATTTAGTAAATAAATACATAGAAAATTATTTTGTCTAAATACATAAATGCCTTCGAATTTAGTTTGTGATCAACCTTACTCAATATTTCTCTCATGCTTAAGTTTTAAATGACATGATAATGAGAGGGAGCAATTGCATACGATGACTGTCGAAATATATCTCAACTTAACGCAGATCTGGTTCAAGTCTTAATTAATTATAACATACATGTAAATATCTCATGTAATCAAGTGGACACTATTAATTTTATAATGAATTAAAATATAATACATTGAATTCACTAATTGTATAAAAGTATAAATATTTCAGATTTGTTAGGACACATATATCAATTTAATCCAAATAGGAATTCGCTATGCCAAGGCATACAAATCCCAACAGTTGGAAGGTGTGGAGGTGGAAGTTTGGGGTCTGTATGGGGTTTGGGGTTTACAGTAATACATATACATATGCATATAAATATAAATACGGCATATAAATATATATAGGTGTAATGAGTGTATAAGGGTAGAAACGTCATTTAAGGATTTTGATATTTTATAATTTACATTAATAAAATATTAAAGGGTAATCTTGACTTTTTACAATTTGTAAGGGATTGTTTGGATCCAATTTTCGACAGGGGGGATCATCGTCCAAAAATTGACCAACTTGTATATGGTTGTCGCCAAACCTCAAGGGTGTTATTGTACTTGACCCTAAATATTATTTGTAATGTTATATACACACACACACACACACACACACACACACACAAGATAGGCTAATAATAAGCAAATTACACACACCCACCATGACTTTGAATGTCTTTTGTGGGCAATACAAGAGCTCAAATTCCATTACAGTTAAGACCCATATGTAATGACCCGGTCATTTTCTTTCATTTCCTTTTTCTCAAATTTTATGGATAAATTTTTTCTGTTTAATTTTCTTTTCCGAGTTCTGTTTCTCGTCACTTAGTGTCACCTCGAGTACTTAGAAATGGTTTCCGAGACTCTTTCATTTGGATTAACAACTTCATTTAAGGACCGAGTCATTTCCACATTTTCACTTTTGGACACTATTCACTTTTCGTCCTTTTCCATATTTTGTCTTTTCCCCGTTTATCACTTTTTGGCACAACCTCACTTTTCGTGCTTGGAATTGATTTATGACTTCACGTACCTTCATTCTAAGTGGTTTTTACAAAATACGTATATTTACTTTTGCAGAAAAGTACTCTAGTTGCTCCCGGTATCTATAGGGGTATGGATGCACAGTTGTTTGAAAACATTTTCTTTTCTTAAATATCTTTTGAAGATATTTTATTTTAGGGGTTTTTAAGAAAATATCATTTGGAAGATATTTTCATTCTGGGCCAATTTTGCAGTTAACCCTTTTTGTAGGGGCCATTATGTAATTAACGAAAGTTATTGCAAAATACCTCGTTTTGAACTTGAATCCTCGTACAGGATTCATTTTCACATTTCGTCAAGTCATGAACTCTTAGAATTTCCTTCTGCTCGTTTTTCTCCAGTTTCAGGGTTTCTGACACCGATTGTCACCGAACTTGTTCGGGACATATCTCTCTGCTCGGGACTCGGTTTTCGACACCATTTCTTCCGTTGTTCATATTTTCTCATTTTAGTTCTTTTTTGTTCATAGTATTTTGTCATTTGAGCGCATCTGCTCAAATTTCACTTTTTCGGATCCAGCGGGGCCCTTTCGGGACACTTTAGGGTTTTTCTATAAATAGGGGGTCTTAGAATGAAAAATCAAATTTTTTTTTTCTCTTTCCCCTCTCTTGGCCGGAATCTATGGCAGCCATGGCTGCCACCTTCTCTCTCCTCTTTTGAGCCCCTTCCCTCGTGTAAAATGCTATAGTATCTTAGTGTTTTATGTTCGCCTTGACGTGCTTTACCTTTCCCCTTATTAGAACCCATTTCTGGCCATTTTTCGAGTTCGGGTTTGAAGCCAAGTTTGGATTTCATGGTACATCCTTGGTGTTTAATGTTCCTCTCGTTGTCCCCGACATAACCTAGGAGTATCGTCAGATTCGGAGCATTTTTCTTTCGGTGGGGATTTGAGATTTCATCTCAAATGGAGGTAAGGGTGTTATAGTTTCATTTTCTTGATGTATTGCATGCTATGGATGCTTATACAATCTATTTACATGATTTGATAAAAAATCTAGAGATTTTATTATTTATTTTTCTTGTATGAGATTTGATTTTCTCGGTTGGTTATTATTCGGTTTAAATATGTGGCATGATAGTATATTACACCTTGATGTGTTCATTGACATATATTAAATTGAGAGCATTTGGACAAGTATTGAAGTTTTTATTTAATATTTTTCTGAAATAAAAATTTAATTCATGTAGCCTTATCTAGCTTGAAATTAATGTGTGATGTCATATTATATTAGGCCCTAGCATGCTCTTCAACATATGTGAATTTGAGAGTATTTGAAGATGTTTTAAAATCTAGAGATAATTGATTAATTTGATTAATTAATTTATTCCAAGTGTACTATTCACTTCATTGGATTTCCGACTTGATATGATTGATGTGCATGCCATATACTTTCACATATATTAAATCGAAAATATTTGGTTAGGTTTTGAACTTTTCATTTATTAATTTTCTTGCATGAAGGTTTAATTTTCTTGCATGAAGGTTTAATTATCATGGTTGTAGCTTGCATAAAATTCACTTGTATCATGCTATTAAATTAAGTCTTGACATGTTTAACGACATACTTTAATTTGAAAGCATTTGGATGAGTTTTAAAATCTAGAGATTTTAATTAAATGAATTAATTAAAATCCATTCAATGGTTCCATGGACTTGATTAAGTTTCTAACTTGGTATTCAAGATTTCCTTGACATAATCCTTGACATATTTTGTTCGTAAAATATTGGACTTGCCTTATAATCTTGATAATTTAATCCCTTAAGTAGATTAAACTCCCTTTTATGCTTTCATCGAGTTAATCATACCTTGATATTGAACTCTTGTCACACTTAAGAATCGGACTTGTATGTCATGGACTTTTATCTTTTATTGTATCTAGGTTTCATTAATGTACTTAATGAACTTGCACAATTGTCTTGGAATGGTTTAATTACTCATGTATTGTTTAGTAAATAATTAAATCATTAATCTTATACTTGTGGTATATTTGCATCAATAGATTCCTTGTGTTTTAAATCCTAGTATGTAGTCTATGTAGATGCATACCATGATTTCTTGACATTTCACATGCCATGATAGTTGATGAATTTAGGGCATGACTTGTGTGTTCCAAAATCTTGGTTGTGCATGGAATGTGGTTTAATGCATCACTTGTATCTTGATACACTCTTAGTTGCACAACTTGTTGATTTTGGTACTTGGGATATCAATCAAGATTTGATATGGCTAGGACTTGGTTCTAGTACGGGAGATAGAGAGTTCCCTATATCATAGTGCTCACTAGGGGAAGGTACCCGTGGGTTAGTAGCCCTAAAGTGATCCCAAGAGTATGGTTTTAATCCGGGCGATATCCGAGTTTCCACATTGGTTGATTTCACTTTTTCAATTTCAAGTTGCTATTCCTTGAAGATTTAAAACTTGTCGTGTTATGTGAAATGCTCCAATCTTGTTTCATTGCATAGATATTATGCATTATCCTTGATTTCATGTATTCCTTTTGTCGTGTAAATTGGAATGCTCCAATCATGTTAATTGCATTGATAATGTGATCCTTGGATTCAATCATCTTTCTTGTCGTGTTGTATGGACTATTCTAAACATTGCTTAATTGTGTTGATAATGCAATTCATGTTGATTTATATCCAAGCATCATCCTTATCGTGTTGTATGGATTATTCCAACCTTATTCAATTTCATAAATATCTTGATTTGTGTTATTTCACGTTGATATGATTTAGGAATGATCCTGTATAAACATCTTGATTTAGATTCTAGGTGGCATGGACTGTTACAGTATTTATCGCATTCTAGGTTAAAAGTTGATAACTTTGAGTACCTATGTCTTGTTGCATTACACTATGTGCTCCTATGTTATTTAAATTGCAAGAATGATGTGATTTATGCTAGAAATGCTCTATGGTAGCTTAGGATGTTTCCTGAGTTTTATTTTGACATAGACGTTAGGTGGCATTAGCCCCTTTAACATGTTTCACCTTAATGTGATAATTTTGTAAAATGCTAGGTCGATGCATGCTCATTTTCTACGAGTAGCTTTATGTTACTCACTCCAAAGTTACTGGGATTTGTTTTAGGTACGAAGGCTTGGTTCGTGATGCTCATTATTCTTTGGATGACTTGTATCTTTTAAATTTCTATTTCATGCAAATGTTAGCATGAAATGTCATTTTGTAGCTTATATGTCAAAACGTATATTTTGTTTCAAATATGTAATGTGTACATAAGTACACTTTTTGTAATGTATTTGATATGTATGACTTGAGGCCAAGGGCTAAATATGTTTATATTTGTACTTGTATTCATTTGGCGCCACATTTTGT